TGCTTTAATCACATCCACAATGTTTTTATAGGTCTTATGAGGTATTCTAATTTATTGAGATAGTGAATTGGTGGGTTTTTGTTAAATGTGGGCCAAATTTAAATTAATTGTGGGCCACAATTAAAATACCCAACAGCTTAAACTACTTCGGTCTGTGTGTACTGAATTTATATAATACACGAGTTTCACTATTTGAGCTGAATTACTGAAATAAATGGACTTTTCCACAATATTCTAATTTATTGAGCTGCACCTGTACATACTGTACTACTCAGTGGTTTGGAGCACGTCACTTCACTGCAGCTTCCATCAGGGTTTGACAGTGCTGGTACAGCTGACTTATGGATGTCAAACACTTAAAGAATACCAGTTTAATCTATGTCAACATGTTGAGGTAAGCAGGTTTGACCAGTACACCAGTGGACATGCATGTGTATAGAAAGCCTGACAAACATGTCATCTTTTCAGGTTTCACTGACACTAGTTTGTAAAAAAGTGTTTTTGTGCTGCATCAGTTTTGATGAAAGTATCGCTAAATTTACAAAAGTGTAAATGTAAAAATGTGGACAGACTGAGTTGATTCTACTTCTTTTACCCAATCACAAACATTAGGTGGCATCAGAGACTCGAGCTGTCATCAGCTGGATGCACAGCATCCCCTTTGTTCTTGGTGCTAACCTCCATGGTGGAGAGCTGGTGGTCACCTACCCGTACGACATGACCCGGGACTGGGCCCCTCAAGAGCACACTCCCACTCCTGATGAGAGCTTCTTCCGCTGGTTGGCCACAGCGTACGCCAGCACCAATCAGGTTAATGCTCCTCCTACCGGCTCTGCTCTTAAAACAACCATTACTCTGAGTGAAGCATTAGATCCCTATGCACTTGACATGTTCTCTATAAGCAGGTGATGTCCAACCCAGACCGGCGGGCCTGCCACAACAAGGACTTCCTCAGATACAACAACATCATCAATGGAGCCGACTGGCACAACGTACCAGGAAGTAAGAATGTGTGTTTCATTGTGTGAAACTAACAGGAGACTTTGACAGGCTTCGTTATAAACAGAGGTAGTACAACACTACCTGATCAACCAGTGACTTCTGCACTGCAGACCAACAGAAATGAGATCAAACGTCCTTGTAGCAGTGAATATAGATGTTACTGTGGATATGCAGGATTCAGCGTAAAGTTTCTAGAAGAGTGTTTTCTGTCTTTCATCTGTCTGGCAGGTATGAACGATTTCAGCTACCTCCACACCAACTGTTTCGAGGTGACAGTGGAATTGTCCTGTGATAAATTTCCTCATGCCAGCGAGCTTCCTATCGAGTGGGAGAACAACAGAGAGTCCCTGCTGGTTTACATGGAGCAGGTCAGGCTGCTGCAGCTTCATTCTGCTAACATGATAATCATGTTTCTCTCTTCCTTTTGCCTTTCTGATACTTTTCTAATCACCTTTTTGCTCCATTAATTTTAAATGATGCTACATTTGTGACCAAAACAACAAAAGTTACAATACTATATCTCTTACTCGTTGGTTTTCACAGTGGACTGCTGTTTTATATCTACAGGCCCAACAAGACAGTGAGACATTCTTCTTTCTTTGACCTTTGTTTCTAGGTTCACCGTGGAATTAAGGGGGTGGTTCGGGACAAAGACACAGAGGCTGGTATAGCAGATGCCATCATCAAAGTCGATGACATTGATCATCATATTCGATCAGGTACAGTTTTACATGTTGCATCAGGGGTTTTTCTGTTAGTTACTCTCTATTCTGACATGACTGTTTCCTCATCAGATGAAATGCTCTGCAGCACTGAGGTTAAGTGCTTCACCATTAGTGTAATATCCCACCATCATAGGACTTTATTCAGTGACTGTGTGCTCATATTTTCAGTATTATTTTAGATGTCCATCTCCTGCTGTCACTTACTTTTCAGTGGCTGGTGGCGACTATTGGCGGCTGCTGAATCCCGGCGAGTATCGGGTGACAGCCACCGCAGAGGGTTACTTCCCCTCCTCCCGCACCTGCCAGGTCATGTACGACCACTACCCCACAATCTGTGACTTTCACCTCGCCAAGATGCCCGAACACAGGCTAAAGGAGATTTTGGCAAAGAGAGGGACACTTCCTGAAGACCTGCAGCTCAGGCTGCGCCAGCTCCGTCTACGTAAGCTGCGTGTCACCACCAAGACAATCAACCAGAGGCGTGCTGCTGCCAAAAGAGCAAAGAGGGTGTGACGATGAGAACAAAGCAGGACTTGGTTCAGTCCACTCTGGGTGAAGAAATTGAGCTGATTTTGATCAGGAGTGACGGGGGTGCAGAGGAGACCAGCTCCACTTGAACCAACCTTCGTCTTCCTACTTGTTTTCCTAGCTTCCACATTTTCTGAATTTCTATCACACTTTCACTTCGTGTCCTCCACCTCTTTTCTTAAACGGGTCAACTCTTTCAAAATAATAGTGTCATGACTACAAACCTGAGATTTGTTTGAAACAGGTACTAAAACTGGAAAGCAACATATATAAGTAAGTTATCCAGCACAATTCTGAGGTGTGGGAGAAAGAAAAGTCGTTCTAGCTTCCATTGCTCTGACAGACCTGTCATCACGTTGTTGTTTCTTAACCCCAGAGAATGAACAGGTTTGTTAGGAGGAACCATCAACAGAAACTTTATTACATAAATATCTGCAGTTAAAAAAAAAAACAAACAAGGTTTATTTACTTAAGAATAGTGAGCTTCCACTTGACACCGTTTCTCATCTTTGGTGGCGTCAGGACCTCTGCATCTGAGAAGAAAAATTGATGTTGGAAACAAACAACTGGAACAAGACACAGAGGTTGTGGCACCCGTTACAACCGGCACAGATCAGATATGCATTATAAAAGTAAAACTAGAATTATAAACGTCTACAAGAAACAGGAAACAGGCTATAGGCTACGTAATGTTGCCATGGATACAGTGTGTTATAATGTGGGTGCCATTTGTTTCGGAACACTAAGTATGCTGAATTAGTTAAGTTCACTTTTGCCATGCACTACTGGATGCACTGACAACTATTACTGAATTACTCTGATACTAAAGAATTTGGTAAAATCTGATGATTTTCAGGAAAGTTCTGCCGCGTTCCAATCCCTGCCTTATCTCATAATTAGAAGAAAAGTATCTCGTAGTTATATTTTTTGTAATTATGAGACAGTGAGTCATTATAGCGAGACAGGAACCTCAAAAATTTTTTTCTTTGGCAAGTGCAATGTGCTTCCATAGCATTCACCTGATTAGTGCTAATTATGATTTACAGTAAGATAAAATATAAACAAACAGCACCCATATTATAACACACTGTATCCATGGCAACATTACGTAGCCTATAGCCTACTTCCTGTTTCTTGTATTAGTTTATATCTGTTCACATGATGACTATTAACATTTAATGCTGTGTCATAATTACAGGGCATTAGGACTGACATACAGATGGACAGACAACCCACAGTCATGTTATCCCCAGCACAGAGGCATAATGCAGTTGTGCAAATAATGACCTGTGACTGTTTAAACAATCCAAATGCTGCTGACCTTGTGGTGAAGCTGCAGGTTTCTGCTGCTGTTGGAAAGAAGCCATGATGCTGTTTGCAGTTGAGTTTGGCCCAGTGAGCTGTGAAGCACAAAGCAAATCAAAGTTACATATTTACACCACAAATCTTGCTAAATAACATGAACCACAATGCCTTCTCCTTGTACAGCACATTATTCATCCTTAGCTAACAGAATAAAGTTGGTTTTTGCACATTTATTTTGTCCTTTGAAAGTGTAATTATGCATTTACTCATCATCACTGTCCAGACAGATCTGTCAATGCTAAACCAGTCACAGCAGAGACTGACACCTATTTACATTATAGTTACCGGGGTTTGGTTGCTTTGGAGGTTTACAGGCCACACCTCAGGTACTGCTGCCTCCATCACCCGCAGAGCATCATCATAGGCCAGCTGCAGCTTTTCTGCCTGTTTGTCAAACTGGAACAGCACCAGGGCCTTGAGCAGACTGTGCACTTCCTCTGCAGTGGCAGAGGGACACAGACCAAGTGAAACACTGTGACTTTACTGTAAATTGCTCTTAATAGGAGAATTGAAGAGTTCAGTAAAGTTTGATTTTGTGAGGGCAGGTATATAAATACAGATGGAATTCTTCACAGTAGAACTACATTTCCCATCATCCTTTGGCTGCCTCCTACTGTTTTACTGCTACAGTGTCTCTATACTCTACATAACAATGTTTCAACAAGCAGATGCCGCTTTGTTTTAGTATTTGCAGCCTGGAGGATTATTAAAGTTATTAAAACATGAAGTAAATGAAGTGATCAAGAGCCTCTGCGTGTTTGTGTGTGTACCTCTCATCTTGTCCACCGTGGTGATGATCTCACCCATAGCGTACATCAGCGCTCTGTCCTCCATCGGGCTTCCTTCCTTCAGACTGATCTTCTTCCGCTCGGCCTTCCGCCGGTTCTTTGATGACCTCCTGCAGACATCAAGGTGGACCCACAATAAGATGATTTGTCACATGGACTAGACTTTAAAATATGGAACTCTGAGCACAATTCATCTTACGAGGAGATGCGGGAGTTACTATGGGAGTATTTGGAGCCAGTCATCACACTACTGGCTTCAGAGTAAAACTCAGCATCAGGGCAGTCTGGATCATCCTCATCTGATGGAGAAGACAAGAGGGTTACAGGAAATTTAAGTTTTAATTACGATCAGTTGCTTAGAGTTACTGGTGCATGAAATGCATTTAGTCATACTATGGTGATAATAGGAGAGGAACGTACTGAACATTATGCTACAAGACTGATCTTAGAAAGCTTTTCATCTACTTCCTTAGGCCTGTGGGAGGTTAACATCTGATAGTGTACAAAAACTGTTGGGTTACGTTTGACTTCAAGAGACAGTTCTGACCTAAAATCTTTACAAGTTCAAATCAAACATGCTGGCGAACATACTGTGTCCTGTCAACTCTGACTCATCCTCACCAAGCATGTCCAGTCGGGCCTTCTGCTTCTGCTCTCGGACGACAGCCAGTCTGGCCCTGTGTCGTGCGAACGTCGCTACCTGAGCCTCCAGGAAGACGGTCTGTGTGCCGACGGCTGTGGCAGACAACAGGACCACATCACAACAAGACATCAGTTCTTTGTATGGTGGTTCTCTGTGCCTCACTGTGCAGGTAGGTTTTCACCAATTGTTCAACAACACCCTTTCAGGCGGCTGCTCCTACTGTACCTTCTGTCAGAGCAGGTTTCAGGTTGGTTTCAGTGATGTCCTGTCTGTTGTGTAGGTAAATCTGAAGAAAAATATTAGTTTAAATCTTTAACACATGCAAAGAGCTTGTAAAAGAATTTTCACTAGAGCTATGTATTTTAAAACAGCCTCAATATTTAAGTAACAAAAGGCTTTTATATGTTAGAAAAATGTAGTGACACATTAAACATTACGACCAGTGACGAGAAGAAAAAGGATAGCAGCTTTGCTCACTGACCAATCGAAGCGCCTCCTCCCAGAAAGCACCAGTGATCAGAGCCAAGATGGCTTCCTCACAGTCCTGGAGAGAGAACATTACAAACGTTCAGACCTCGGCTAGCAGCTGGAGACAGGGAGTGGTCTGTGACAGTGATCTGAAGCAGATAACTATAAAAATCACAGTTTTTTTTCATCTGTTTGATCAAAGAGCATTAGAAGATCATTAGAAGCCATTTTGTCCTGCTGTGTATTCCTTCAGAGGATCTTACTTTGGCGTACTGGTCCAGCAGCAGAGCAGCTTCTGAGTATCGTCGCTGCTCAGTCAGCTTCCCTATAAGGGAAGGAAACAACTTTAGGACACACCATGCCCCAGCAGCTGCCTGTCTCACTGCGTACCTGTGTTCCGTCTACCTGTAGTGATGCTTACCTGCCAGGTCTCTGGCCAGTAGAGCCAAATGGTCAGGTGGTAGTGGGATCTGCTGCGCCACACAGATTGCGTTTCTCCAACTGGAGCTACTGGCGAACGCCTGCAAGGCGCTGATTGGCTCTCCACATCGCCACAGCAGTAGGCCGGCCTGCTCCGCCTGCTGCTGCTGTATTAGGTGCTCAGCATAGGCGCAGCTCAGAGCCTGGAGGTCAAAGTTCAGACTTTAGGAGGAAGGAAGTCAGATTTGATGTACAGCTTACTGTGAAAATGTTAGTGTGTGTGAAAAAGCACATGTTCTGTGTTTCTGTGGTCTCGTGGTCAGGAGTTTTCTTGTAACCTTCTCTAATTACTCACATTGTTTCAGCACTAGACTGTGACGCAACCTACAGTACAGAGCCACTGCAGCAAAAGACCAATCCATCAGACAGACAGTCAGATAAGCACTTTGCCCCAGTGCTACACACTACAAAGCCGAAGCTCGACTAAATGATGAATGAAAACAGTCCTGATGGGTGTGTGGGTGTGTACCTTGTACTCAGCGCTGTTTGCCGTGTACAGATGCAGAGCTTCACTGTAGAGATTTTGCTCCTTCACCAGCTTCAGAGCTTCAGGGAAATGTTCTTTTCCTGGACACAAAATGCAACAAGATCATGTCACACTCACCTTTTATTTGTGGGCCAAGTCTGAGTTTGTAATTATTCAGTATTTTTTAACATTAAGTTAACTGCCGTTAAGCTTCTTGCTGTTTAGGCACCGGTAGTGGCTATTTCAGTGTAGTAATCTTGAGAATTCTGGGACTTCCATTGTGTAAAGTTTCTATGTTCCACAAAGGGGATTTGTGATTCTTGTAAATGCAAAATCTCACATGCAGCAGGTGGCTTCTAGACAGACAGACAGCAGTAAAAAGCTGACAGACAGTGTGACTGACCACACTTGCTGAGGTGATGCAGGGCCTTCCTGTAGCGTTTCAGGTGTTTGTCGATGGTGTAGTGTTGGTAGTTTGGCTCCAGGCTCTTCAGCATTTTTAAGAAGGGCAGGTACTCTTTGGGGTCCTGCAGACATTCATGAACATTAGCCAAGTGCATGATGTCTAATTCAACTACCAGTTATTAATCAGGACACTGATTAATGGTAGTAATTTGTTGTACCTGTCCTCTTGTTATATTGTTTCTGTGGTGGATGGATTCTTGTGCACAAACCGTCCTTTTCTCTGCTTTCATGACTTGGTTTTCCAGAAACACAGTAGTGATGCAAACAGAAAACCCTCCAAACTTTGCTTTCTCTCCTGTGATGATCTAATTAAATGCCCCTTGTTTCATTTTTACCCCAATCGATCTGCATATCGTTTTCCTTTTAACTTATTACTATAATAAAGAGGTCAATAATATCACAGGCGGTTTGCAAAGAGAAATATGTTGATGGTAAAATATCTCCAATAGTGTAACTGTCCATGTCTAATATACAGTAAAGTATCATAGAACTAGGGGCTTCTCTTTATATTTGTACTGTGTGGCACTTTGAAATGCTCCTTTGTTGGCTCGTACCTTCTGGGATTTCTCAGCTACCATGAGCACGAGGTCAAAGTCGTACGTCCCCAGAGAGTGTTCGTACAGGTCGTTGACATTGACGAGGAAGAGGAGGTACTTCAGTGCCTCTTCAGCGCTCACAGCACCGGGAGCTGTGGGAGGGCTCTCTAAACAAATGCCATGAAACACACAGGAATGGAATAACAGAGCATAACAAAGTAAGTCCTGCTCAGAAGAGCTGCTCTTCTGTTTTGTTGTATAACAAACTGCAGGTCATTAGTGCGTTTGAGGTGTGCTCACCTCGGAGTTCATGGACTTTCTGCAGAGCGATGTCAAGTTCAGGAACGGTCTTCTTCACATGAGCCGTCAGAATGGACAGACAGAACCTGGACAGATGACAGCACGGTGTTCCTACACATTACTACTACTGTTAAATTCACTTCACATTCAGAACCTAATGACTGCTGCAGTATCACTGACTTGTTTGGATCCATTGACTCCATAGCACTCCGTAAGGCATCGCACACCACATCCACCTTCTTCTGGGCAGAGACAGGCAGCGGTTGGACAAGGCTGCTCTGAGGATGGGGGTACATGCTGCTAGTTGTATCTTCTTCCCTGGATACCACACAGAAATCACACATCGAGAGCTGTGCTTGTTTTCTTCTTCTCACTGCACTCTTGCAGCTCTGACAATCTTACCTGAGCTCAGTGAGGAAGAGGTTGATGTAGTTGATGGAGTTGAGTTGTGTGATGAAGGTCTTTATGTTCTCCAGGAAAACCTGCAGAAGGATCATCTTTTATTGACACACAGCCTTGTTTAAGGTTACAATGGACTGTAGTCTGAGTGAATCAGACTGAAACTGATAAATAATGTAAATGTCACTGATTTGTGTGTCCTGGTTTCCAAATGTCAGATGTCTCATTTTGGAATCATTTGCTTGTTTAGCATTATTTATGCCGCCTGTGCCAGTTTGCTTCATCTTGTCTTGCAAAGGAAAACGCTTATAACTTTTCAAAGGTTTCTTCTAAAAGTTATGTCCAATTATGATGAATTACTTTTACTTTATAAATCATTGTTCCCCTATTAACTAAACTGTAAACAAGAAGAATTTTAAACCTTTTAATTGGTCACTTTGGACAAAATGTGATGGCACAAACATACATGTTATTTTGGGTACGTACCTTTGGATTGTGGTCATAAATGAGGTTGAGATTGATCCTCAGTTTCCTCATACACTCAAAGGCTTCTCTGAAGCGCAGACTGAGTAAAACAGACAGATGCACTATGATGCACTTTTCTCATTTTTTGTCCATTTTCTGATTTAAATTTTTCTGCTAAGCAAAACAGACTTCTGACTGAAGTATCAGGATACAAAAGGTGGAATTCATATATAAACTTAAAAAGACTGTGTTTGTGTATTAAACAAAGATCAGTGTTGCTGTGGGGAGAATGACCATCACTACTATTTTGGCTTATATATCTTGTAAAAGTCAAAGATCAAACTCACTCGTCCAACCACTGCCTGAGCTGAGCCAGCACCAACGCTCGATGATGCACAGTCTCCAGGTTCCCACGAGGCATCTGGAGACACACAGAAATAAATATGTCATCTGGATCCTGAATTTGCTTGAAGATACCCACATTCATAGATGATTTAAAGTGCAGGTCTTCTTGTGTGGGTTGTTTTGTTTACACAAGAATCAGTGGAAGGCAGCAGATGTCTGCGTGCTACACTGACCTGTAGAATCACTCTGGTATCTTGAGGCACCACAGTAACGATCTGGGATCCTCTCTCCACCCGGCGCAGCGTCTCATCATTCTGACCTCCATCTGAGGCCAAGGCCACCTGCAGCCCTGCGGGGTCAAAGGTCAGATGTCTCAGTTATTACATAATATATGCTAGTGGCAACACCAACCTCACAACTTAGTTTATGAGGACAGAAAGACAGAGCAAAACTGAATGCTGCTATGTACAGATGTGTGCATCTCCGTCCTACCTTTGACAGTGAGCGAGCTCAGGTGGAGGCAGCGGCAGGTGTGGGAGAGTGTGGTGATGAGAAGGAAGTCATTACAAACGGCAAAGGAGGAAACATTTGAGGCAAGCTGAAGAGGAAACGAACACGAGTAAAGAAGAGCGTTTGCTACATTTCCACAGTAGGTCCACATACCCCTCCACCATCTGCTTTCACCAGAGCCATTCCAAAGTTACATTAGAGCGTCAAATGACATGGACATTTTACAAAAGCAGCGTGGTGCTATATTTGTGCTCTTTTACCTCCGTGTCTCCAGCATACAGGTGAGATCTGTCAGTCAGGCCCAAGAGATGTTCCTGCAGACATAAAGGGACACATGCATTTTAACCTTAGACAGGGACACATAATTAATGTAACAGCAAATCAAAATCAACACAGGTCATTGCATTACCCTAGTTTCATAAACATATCATCCCATGTACTAGGTATCTACTCATGCATGTTGCTACTTGTACTGTCATGTAATTGTTGCCTTTAAGTAATATTTCTTGCCTTATTTGCATTCAAATGTTTTCTCTCTGTGTGGTGATAAGGGGTGTGCAATCAACAGTGATAGGGGAACGCATTTTACAGGACAAATAATGCAAGAGGTGTTGAGGGCTCTCAACAGTGTGCATTTTGTATGTATTTTAATGTTTTATCCATCTGTGTGCATCGTGTTAATATTTGGTTTGCTGCTTTCTGAATAAATGATTTTAACATGTGTCTACCTCTCTACTGATGCTGCAGAGGGCCATGTGAACACAGGGAACAGGGAAGTTGATGCTACATCCACTGGAGTCACGCCAGGTCTCCACTGATGGCTCAGGACAATCTACACAGAAAAGTATTTATGTCAACTAATGTGGTTTACAAACAGTAACATTCTGCTCAGTTATGAAAACATCAATATAGGTGCAGAAATTTTAAACTGAGACAATGTCACACAGGGTTCAGTCATAGTTTAAATTATTTCATTATTATTTTTATTGCCAGTTATTAAACCACTTTTGTAGAGCGCAACTCTATCAGGCAGACTTTCTGTTAAGCAGTGTGTTTCCATCCATTATCTATACTGCTTAACCTGAGCAGTGTCACAGGGGGAGGAAGCCGGAGTACCTGGAGAGAGCCCACACAGGCACAGGGAGAACATGCTCCATGCAGAAAAGCCCTGGGGCTCGAACCCGGAACCTTCTTGCTGTGAGGCAGCAGCGCTAATCACTGCTCCACCATGCTGCCCCCAGTGTGCTTTTGAATGAATAAACTAGAAAATACTACATTTTGAGTTGATAATTTCCCAAAAAACCAGAACCATCTTAACCAGAAGCAAAAGAACAGTGGTGGTGACTGACCCCAGAGCAGCTTCCTAATCTGCCCATCTTCCAGTTGCAGGGCCACAGTGCTGGTCTGCGAGCATTGAACCATGCTGACCACAACACCGTCCACTTCCATCTCAGCCCTGAAGCATTAAAACAGCAAAAAACTAAATGAATTTAAATGATTTTGGTGTCATTCCATTCATGCACAAGCTTTACTGCACAGAGATCCAGCTAAAGGAGAAGGCTCAGGCTGCCGACCTGACAGTGAGCATGTCACTGGCGTCCTGAGCAGGCCGGAGCATCAGCAGGGTGGAGGAGTTTGGCAGCAGACCGGAGCCCACACCCACAAACAGATCATCCTCCAGCCACAGCAGCTGCCGTAGGGCCAGAGGATCATCCTGAACAGCTGCAACTCTGGGACCATGGGATGAACAGGAAGGAGAACGAGTCGGGGAGAAGTGGTTAGAAAACAAGTAAGCCGTGAAAAAAGCAGCACTTGACAGGTGAACAGAGACTTTGGCAAATATTTTTTAAATCACTAAAGCAACCATGAGTCAGAGTGAACAGGTGACGTTCAGGCAGGCAGCTAGCTGCAGACTACGAGGGTCAGAAACAGCATCACGTTGTTGCAGGTTGTTGTTTTTACCTGAAGGTTTTCTGGAGAACCAGGGGAGGAGACATAATCCTGAATCCATCTGCTGTTTTCTCAGCCCGCTCTCCAGCATCTGGATCAACAGGAAATGTGACCATTACAAACAGGCGCGCACACACATGATGAAACGGTGAAGTGTGAGCACCAGCCCAGACTTCAGTTTGTTCTGATCAGGTACAGCTTCTGCCTCTTTCTACCCACTGATGGTGTTTTCTGGAGTTAGTTTGGATTTTGTTCTCCAGTTCATCTGAGGTGACTGAGTGTAGAAACAATTCTCAGGTTTTAACCAGTATCAGGCAAAAGATGGGTTAGGTTTGGGCTCAACATGCTGGATAACAGTTCAGTTGACTATTAAAATATTCAGGAACCAACCTGTAGATGGACAGTGGACAACCAACCTTGGCTGTAGACTGAGATCTGTCCGTCAGCAGTGAGCGCTGCCAGCTGAGTGGTCCGCTGAGGTCGGCAGAGGAAGGTCACCTGGTTGACTGGTGACTTCAGCTGAAGCTCGAACGAACACATGGGAGGAGGAACCACACACTGCCTGAAGGTCGTCACCAGGATTTTATCTGACAGGTATTAGACAAATATTAGCATTGTCCTGTAGTCATTCTTCGCTTTCACCTTCTCTCGTTCCATTGGTGCTCACCTCCATCAATCACAGCCACGCTGGCGTTGTCAGAGTCATCCAGCCCGGGGCTCCGCTCTGTTGTCCACCCCCAGTCGTAGGTGAGGCTGGTCCAGGATCTGGTCACCACGTGGAGCCGTAGAGGGCACTCTGGGTCCCAGCAGACACAGACCGGAGCCTTCTGAGGGTCTTGGCCATAGTCCAGACTCTGCTTCAGATACCAGTGGTAGTTCCTCACCGTCCACAGCTGGACTGCAGAGGAGCACAAACACATTCAAGGTGAACAAAAGCCACAATACAACTCAAGAAGTCTTGACTTCAAAATTCCACTTAACATATTTGCTATTAAATGTACTTCAGGAACAAACAAAAGTAAATTTGAAGTTTTGTAAGCCCATTGGATGTGTAATCATTTGAGCCAGTTTAAGCTCTTCATGAGTCCTGAGCTCTTTATGAGAATCTCTACTGCAATCACTTGCTTCTTTGCACAGTCCATGAAGTCTAGTCTACTGTCTGTGTAAGAGTGTGGTGCATGCACATGCTCATGTCCTGTGGGGGCCCATGAAACCCGTGGCTATGGTTATGGTCAGACGGCTGTTTAGACAGACTTGGACAACAACTGCCACACCATGTCTACACCAGTAGTGTCTCAGCCAAGGTTTTGAAACGTGTGTAACTGCTGCAATCCTACTTTAATCAATGTAGCTGAGTACTCGGCCCATTTTTTGGCTCGTGTATCATCTGCACTTTACACATGTAACTGTGAGCTAAAGCGGATTTTTACACTTTGCTCAAAAAGCCAATCAGAAGCAGAGCAGGGCCGGGACTTCACAGAATACGTGTGTGTGTGTGTGTGTGTGTGTGTGTGTGTCAAACTGACACACAAGCAGGGCGCCCACAGCAGAGACTCTCAGGATGCTGTCTAATTACATGACTATTTTGCTACAAACATTTACCCCCCAGTGTGGGGGGAAGTCTTCTGAGGTTTACTCACCAAATGGAAAATCTACCAGCATTTAGCGGCTGGCAGGTGTTAGCTTCAGACTCTGACAGGGAGTGAAATGTTGCTTCACTTACTGTACGTGTTGACCTGTCCATCCTCCCCAGGAGTCATGTCCTCCAACCAAACGGCTAAAACAGTGGAGTCACTGTTCCACAGCAGGTCTTTTACCTGAAACACACACATTAATCAGTCTATGACTATAAAAACAGTCTTCTGGATCATCTTCTGTATGCTTGATCACTGCCATTCTAACAGTTCTGGAAAATACTTTCATCACTTCTGAAAAAAGAAAAAACATCTGCAATTGAAATGTGCGTCTAAACTTTTATGCGAACATGCCTTTGCCTGATCTTTGCTGAACGGCAGGGTGAAGTCTCCATGCAGAAGTCCATTCTTCTCCATAAACACCACACTGTGTTTGTTGGGATGACGCTGAGTGCTCGCTATCAGGCTGCCTGAGGGTCTGAAACACCAGGAGAGGATTCAATATGGAGTCACACTTTTATTCTTGTAAAACTAAATCTACAACAGCCAAGAGTTACTTATGTTTTATTCATAATTATTATTTATCCAGGTATGACACAAATATTTCTCATGTTCAAACACGTCTTCACAGAGAAATCATAAAATGTGCAGAAGCTGGAGTTAACCAAAGCAGTCTGACTAAAAGAAAATTGTCCTTTAACAGCACTCTTACTTCCAGCAGAGTGCCTGCTCCAGGCCGCTGATGGGCTCACTGGTGGCCTGCAGGACGCCCTCTCTGTTCCACACCCGGACCGTCCTGGCTCCAGTCTGAGGGCAGACGGCACTGACGGCGAACAGCTGACCATCACCTCGCCACGTCACCCGCGGCCTGCGGTCATCCCACGCAGCAGCTGGTTGCACCTCCTGTGAGTGTGTTTACATTATTCAGAAAGAATGTTTTCATTTTCACAAGCTGAGATGTTTCTGTGATTGAACACAAACCTGGATCTTCCTCTGTGCTGCCTGTTTCCCCTCTGAGCCATGGAACTGAGTTTCCTTCTTCCCCCAACCTACTGTGATGAACTTCCCTGCAACAGAAAGATACTAGTAGCATTCAACCAAAAAAAACAATACTTTAATTTAATGAATCATCTTGTGGCCCTCAGGCTGGAACCTGCTAATCCATGCAGAGTTCGTCGGGAGCCACCTCACCTTCACCGAAGTCATCCTGGTGGATGCTGACTTCAGTGATCGGCTCAAAGTCTTTGGTCATCATGATGATTGTTTCCTGACCTGTGCACACAAATTAATAATGACTTATTCATTTCTAACACTAATTGGTATGTTTTTGAATTGGCAAACTAAGCACTGTAACTAAGGATATATACTGTATCTACATTATGTCTCAACCATACGCATCTTATAAGAAAAACTCAAACTATTGCTCATCTCTGACAAGTTCTCTGTGACCAGTAACTGCCTCAGCTTTATGATAACTTTATAATAACCCACCCCACTTAGACCAGTACAGGCCTTCAGCCAAGTGGTGAAACAATACTACGTATTAAAGTTAAAAGATTTTTGTCTTTACTTCTGTCTGCAGTGATTCAAAGCTAGTGATAAAAAAGACAACACATTTTGACAATTTACAGCACGTTTTTGGCTTTTAGCGCAGCACACCCACCAGTAGTGAGAATGACGAGCTCTTCATCAGGACTCCAGCTCATCGAGGTCAGACCACTGTCCACACTGCCGACACACTCCAGCTGTGGAACATAAACACACCCATGCCTCACTGGCATGACTTTCATGTCTATAATCCTACACTTCTAACCTTAAAATGAAGCCAAAGCTCAACTGTCAGACAGCGCTTTGAAGAAAACAAAATCCTAAACTTCCAACTTGTCTGTGCTGCAGACCTGGTAGGTGTTGAGGTTGAAGAGGACGACATCACCACCAGCTGTAGCCAAACATGCTGACTGCAGTTCAGCCAGGTCTTGCAGTCCCACAACCACACCACTGCCATCCTCTGGGAGGAAACCATCAGCAGTCAGTGAAGCCTCGCTTACAACCTGCAGAGCAATCAGTCAGTTATGTTGAAATGTCTCTAAACACAGCACTGTACTCAGCAACAGAAAGCAGAATACAAGGCGTAAAAACAGCTTGTGTGCTGTCCAGCTGGAACAAAACTAGCACAATTTGGATTTCTCTTCAAGCTGTGCTACTGATGAACTAAGAAATATTGGTTGAGCTCACCTGGCCAGTTCGGGGGTCAAACTCTGTGATGGCGAACTGAGATGAAACCAGCAGCGAGCCAGTGTCGGCCCGCACAGAGAGGCACTGCGCGGAGCCTGGACCCTGCAGCTCTGAGCTCCGCAGGCTCTTCAGCAGCTTCAGGTTCCTCATTTGAGCTCAGGACAGACCCACTGAACCCGAGCCTGGACCTAAAGACTGCAAAACTGAAACGGCACAAATGAAAAAGTTTCGGTACTGAAACCACTGACAGGTACATATGGGTAATTTATTTTAAGATACCAGGAATCTTTCTGGGATCTTGGTTACTGTAATCTGGCGAAATAGATGAAGCCTTGTCTTACATTAACATTAGTGAGACTGAGGTGTCACACTAAAAAGTTAGATGCCTCGCAAAGTACTGAATGTTCATTTAAATGCTAACACAACTGCTACGTTAGATTAGTAAGTTATTAACTGCTTTACCTAATCTTGTTCCAATGTTTCAGACATGCCATTAACAACAAAAATCAACCAGCACAAAGCACAGACAGGTTACATTTATCGACGATAACAGTGTAAAAAATTAAAGGTACTTTCACACAGTAAAATACAGGTTTGTTACAGAAGTTAAGTTCACCAATGACAATTTCTTTAAAAGTCTGCAGGGTGTCCGAGAATGGAACTGATGCGCTAGCGTACCACGAAATTAACGTTGTAACAGGCGACATGTTTTTAGCTACGACTAAACAGACTATGACAGCTAGGAAACTTATTAATATTACTAGAGAACACTAAAACCCACCGCGAAGAAAGAGCTTAAAAAACGTTAAAATGTCCAGCATCAACAACAGACATGTGTCTCTGTCAGACTCATAACCCTTCACCTCTGAAGCATTTCGGCTTCGCAGCGGTGTCGCCCTCTAGTGGTCGGAGTAAAATACATCCATGGAAAGAAATGGACCAAGGTTAATCTCACTAATCTAGAGAAAATTAGTCAAATAATTTTGAAAACTGCTTGTACATTGCGTATTTGATCATATTTTATTTACTGGAACTAGTTCTTCATTTCGGTTGTCATATATTTGTCTATGTCACAATTTTTCCTACATGGTTGTTGTTAATAAAGGGAAAAACGTAAATGGAACCTGACTTCCCAAATATCTATAACATTTATTTATCTATCCCTTGTTACCAGCATCCATGCATATATATTTCTATTTATCTCCATCCTGTTCTTATCTTTCTCTTAGGCCTGTATTATGTGCTGCTAAAATATTAAAATGTTTCTACTGGTGATGCAATTTTTCTCTAAACACAGTGTAGCCCACTATATACAAGTACAGTAAAGTGTATTCAAACTCTTACATAAGTAAAAGTATAAAAATATTGCTTAAGCACCAAAAGTAATAGTGCTATTTGTACAAAATTGGCACTATTTAGACTATTATATTTATTTCATACACATTAGTTTGTTATTTTTACAGATGCATTTATGTGTGAGCAACATATAATTTTATCATTGAACTATTTTTGACAACTTAATCTACTGTGGTGTAATTTAATCTACAGCAATACATCATTTTGTATAAGCTTGATATGTTTCAAATAAAGAACTTTTATCTTAAAAGTTAATCATAACTAAAATTTCTAAATGGGGACTAGGCACCTTCCCCTCCGAAATCATATACAAATATTCAAAACAAAATTGTAGTATAATCAGGGTATGATAAATGTAGGCCGCTCAGTTACTTTCCACCATATTCTTTTCAATGTGTTTGTTAAATTGTTTAGCCTTTCGAGTTTTAATCTGAAAACAATGACGTGTAGCATGGATGTTGTTGACCACCTTTTATTTTGTAGAGTTGAAACCGGACGTCATGTTCGTTTATTGTTGTCGCGAGATTTACAGGCTGCTGAGCGACAACAGGTGAACGTGAGTTCAAGTAAGAAACGCAAAGGGTTGAGGACGTTGGTGCCGAATTAAATACGTGATGAGAGGAACGTAACACCAAGGTAATGTTTTACATTTCCTTGTCATTCTCTGCCTTTTCTATCCAAACACAAGGCAACAGACTCACCGCAGACTTCCCCATCCTTGAACCAAACGAGGGTTTCGCATTTCTTATCTCGCTCTGCGGTCGTTTGCTAACAACAATCTGTCGGTGCAGGATTCTCGACAGACATGTTTACAAAGCTGAAAGCGTGAGTGAAGACAATGCTTGAAATCAAAGTATCGTCTTGACTGTTTTCCACCCGCGTCTCTTCCCGTTCACAAATTAAAACGGGCAGATGCTGCTTTGTTGTTGTTTATTACACCATATGATACAGGTAATTTTCCAACTCGGGCTCTGTTCTGTGCATAAGCCTCCACAGGCATGTATTTGAAATTTAAAATATATATTTTTATGTATATTGTGAAATTTGTATGCCTTAATGTCTGTGCAATATGTGTGTGATATATTGTGTTGTGGAGCCACTAAATGAACGTACAGCTGTCCAGATGTTCTTGTCCGATTTAAAATAAAGAGGGAAGACAGGAAGGCGAACTGTAAAGCCTTGTAACACAAATCAAAATAACCAGACAGACAAATGGAAAGTATAAAATGATGCTAGGTCCCTTCTGTGGTAATTAGGCTGTGGTTCCTTCACATCCAAAGCAGCCAGTTGAGGTGGTTCAAGCATCTGATTAGGATGCCTCCCAGACACCTTTTATTGGAGGTTCTACAGGCACAGTTACAGTCAGGCCCATAAATAATGGGACATCGACACAATTCTAACATTTTTGGCTCTATACACCACCACAATGGATTTGAAATGAAACGAACAAGATGTGCTTTAACTGCAGACTGTCAGCTTTAATTTGAGGGTATTTACATCCAAATCAGGTGAACGGTGTAGGAATTACAACAGTTTGCATATGTGCCTCCCACTTGTTAAGGGACCAATAGTAATGGGACAGAATAATAATCATAAATCAAACTTTCACTTTTTAATACTTGGTTGCAAATCCTTTGCAGTCAATTACAGCCTGAAGTCTGGAACGCATAGACATCACCAGACGCTGGGTTTCATCCCTGGTGATGCTCTGCCAGGCCTCTACTGCAACTGTCTTCAGTTCCTGCTTGTTCTTGGGGCATTTTCCCTTCAGTTTTGTCTTCAAGTGAAATGCATGTTCAATCGAATTCAGGTCAGGTGATTGACTTGGCCATTGCATAACATTCCACTTCTTTCCCTTAAAAAACTCTTTGGTTACTTTTGCAGTATGCTTTGGGTCATTGTCCATCTGCACTGTGAAGCGCCGTCCAATGAGTTCTGAAGCATTTGGCTGAATATGAGCAGATAATATTGCCCGAAACACTTCAGAATTCATCCTGCTGCTTTTGTCAGCAGTCACATCATCAATAAATACAAGAGAACCAGTTCCATTGGCAGCCATACATGCCCACGCCATGACACTACCACCACCATGCTTCACTGATGACGTGGTATGCTTAGGATCATGAGCAGTTCCTTTCCTTCTCCATACTCTTCTCTTCCCATCACTCTGGTACAAGTTGATTTTGGTCTGAACTGTCCATAGGATTCCAGAACTGTGAAGGCTTTGTTAGATGTCGTTTGGCAAACTCTAATCTGGCCTTCCTGTTTTTGGGGCTCACCAATGGTTTACATCTTGTGGTGAACCCTCTGTATTCACTCTGGTGAAGTCTTCTCTTGATTGTTGACTTTGACACACATACACCTACCTCCTGGAGAGTGTTCTTGATCTGGCCAACTGTTGTGAAGGGTGTTTTCTTCACCAGGGAAAGAATTCTTCGGTCATCCACCACAGTTGTTTTCCGTGGTCTTCCGGGTCTTTTGGTGTTGCTGAGCTCACCGGTGCGTTCCTTCTTTTTAAGAATGTTCCAAACAGTTGTTTTGGCCACGCCTAATGTTTTTGCTATCTCTCTGATGGGTTTGTTTTGTTTTTTCAGCCTAATGATGGCTTGCTTCACTGATAGTGACAGCTCTTTGGATCTCATCTTGAGAGTTGACAGCAACAGATTCCAAATGCAAATAGCACACTTGAAATGAACTCTGGACCTTTATCTGCTCATTGTAATTGGGATGAGGGAATAACACACACCTGGCTGAGAAGCCAATTGTCCCATTACTTTTGGTCCCTTAACAAGTGGGAGGCACATATGCAAACTGTTGTAATT